TATTTACAAAAACTTCCGTACTTCGGAATACACCGACCCGCTACTTGGGTCTAACGTAAAAATATAAAAATAAACTAAACTCTAATTTAACTTTAAAAATAATAAACGTGGAAGATTGGCCTTATATTAACAGGAAGCCGTATGTAGTACAGAGAACTGTGAACACTACAATACGTTTAAATTTATCAAGAGGATTAAAACCTCTGGCCTGGAAGGCAACCAGCAACTGCGTAAAACTTCTAAGGTAAGTGGCCTGCTTCGACCCACTGCTTCCTCTCTCTCGCTTGGCAAAAAGCCACAACTTAAATACTTGGCGTTCGCCAGACAACTTTGCATAAAAACCTTAACGCTTATAATTCTGGCCGGAAGTAGAAAATAAGAAGTGATAGTAAAGATTTAAAATAAAATAAACGTTAGTAAAACTTAAGATCCTTACAACCTCTAGTTCGTATTCAGGCACTATGACGGCCCAACGATACTTGGACAATGTACTGCGGCAGGTGGCAATCCCCTACTTTCAGGGGCTGCCTAATGCAATTTTTCAGCAGGATAACGCCCGACCACACAGTGATAGCATCTGCCAATATGCTCTGCAAGGTAAAAAGATGCTTCCCTGGCCACCGTACTCTCCTGACCTGTCACCAATCGAACATGTGTTGGATGTGATTGCAGACTCTGCCCCTGCCTCGATCAGAAGACGAACTGTGGCAAATGGTTGAAAGGGAATAGAGAGCCATCCCTCAGGACACCATCCGCACTCTTATTGACTCTATGCCTAGACGTGTTTCTTCGTGCATCGCTTCGTGCATCGCTGAGTGTTGGCCCACCAGCGGCCGAGCGGTAAAATCGCTTAACACTGGTAGTTCGGTCCGAGGTTCGAATCCGCGAACGGGCTGGCTGCATGGGCGTTTTCGTGGTTTCCCCCATGTGTAACGTGTATACGAGCCAGTTTCCCTTAGAAAGTCCTCCACGAAGGCATCCCTCCTCTTAGGCAGATAGCCCTCGAGGCTTTGCCATAATCACACACACACACACACGTGCATCGCTGTCCGCGGTGGTCCTACATCCTACTGAGCCGACGCTGTTCTCGCTCTGTATTCTGACTATCATTTTGAAATAAAGATCACTTATTGCTGCTTGCTGTCTCTGTCTTATTTCCAAATTTCATCACTTTCTGACCACTCCTTCTTGGTGTTGCATTTTCAATGTCAAGCAGTATATTTCATCCGTCTACCAGCTGAACTCATCAGCCTAGCTGTTTAATTTTGATCTGTTTTTCAAATCCCTGGTTAATATAAACTAATGTTACAGGAAGAAAACATACCTGTCACTACTGTAATAAATTTATTTCGAAAATACAGCTATAACATGAACGCATAGCTCTTCATATATCTTTTAAACATGCTCAGATGTTCGATGTGGAGGCCTTTTGTAACACGGCAGGCGTCTGCACGATAGTTTACTTCCTAAGCTATTGAGAAATATGTGAACGGATCCATCATGTTCTAACTGCTGGACCCATAAAGGCGGTTAAATGATGTCTAGTCACGAATTTCTAAGTAAATTAACCCAGAAGTAAGTTTAAAACAAATTCTTATCAGCCTAACGGTTAGATAATACAACTTTTCATTGGGTTACCTAACCTACGTACAGAAAATAAATATCAAGTGGAGTCTATATCCAGAGGATAATTTAGTAAGTAAAAGATCAAACTTTAAAAATAAACGTTTACGGTAGCAAAATTTCACATTATTTCCTGAAATTTGTAGTGATCAAGCAGAGGAGCATTGTACAACTTTTCGTTTGGCTACTAAGCTTTCATGAAGGACGTGTCAGACGTACATGATGATCGAAAATTAGGAAGACAAAAATATCAACAGATTAAAAGAAGAGTAATGTCAGAGTCGGGGCAGCCGGTGCAGCTGCAGAACGGAATTACTAAGGGGTGAAACATTTTAGATGTACCGGACAGTAAAATGCCTCTAACTTAGTATAATATTTACCGGCGACTCTAACCTAGTGCAGAAAATGCCTCTAAGGTGGAAAGAAAGCAGGTCACGAAACAACAAAAAATAAAGAGAAACTATTACATGCTAAAGAGATTTCACTAATATCAATATGCCAATTTTCAGAAAAACTCTGGAGAAGAGGTTTGTGTTCTGTTGATAACTCATTGCTTGATGTAACGTTATTGATATGAAGATTTGAAGAGTAAGATGAAAGATCGCTATCTGGAATAACAGTATATGATGAAATGGGAATTAAACATTTTGACTAAAATTTAAATCGTTGTCAGACCAGGGCTTCTTCCCGCGATTCATTCAAATATTTCGGCATGCATACCATTGGTGAAATAAATTATGATCTCTACCTAGAATTACCAAGGAATTATTACGAAAGATAAAGTTTCATGTGGCAAAAGTATTTATTAAGCATATTATTGTGAATATGTGAAACAATGGCGTAAGAATATGCGAAAAATGTAATATTGCGAAATATGTGAAACAATTGCATAAAAATGCTTAACTTGCTTAGAGACAGGATGAAAGAGTTCCGCTGAAATTTGAGATAAGTCTCCTAAGTAAAGAATCTGAAGGTTCACTCCACAGAAAATAAAATCCTCGTAAAGTTCTTTCCACGAATTTAAAAGAGCTTTATATGGATTGCAAGGCGAAATAGGTTTCTTCAGCAGTTACTCACACCATTCAAGGACTGAGTAAAAGTAGTAACCTACAACGAATAGCAAATCTTCCAGGTGGTTCACAACTATTGTGAACAATGGTATAACACTGGAATGCAAGCAGATACTGTCTGAAGTAAAATTATTAGGTCGAATAATTAAATAAAAGTATTAGCATTGAGTTTTGGCTTAACTTCATATTAGTGCATTCCGATTATCTGTTCAAAATGTAACAAAACCGGAATACTAATTACCAGAAATGGAATTATTTGTAATTTTACGTATTTGTTGCTCTGATGATAAGACAGCAGTGGACAGCTTGAAATCTATGAAATTTTTCCATTCATAATATCAGAAATTAAATCAGCGATTAATAAAGAAGCGGCACTGCATGATTTCTATTTCAAATTCCATTTGCATTAAAAAATTGAACTATATTTATTCAAAATAAGTCGCATATCGGATGGCAAAGGATTGCAAGTATCTCGCGAGTCGCAGTTAAGGTGTCGGAGAGTCGCAGTTTGGCCATGTCTGGTATATATATTGACTTGCTATGAAGACTTTGTAAATGTTTTAGAAGAATTATGTGATGATGATTCTGGTTCATAAATTAGTTCGCATAAAGAATCTAATACTAGAAATTTTTTCTACTTCATTTTATGAATAATGGATTGTTCCATCTAAAACAAGTGAATCCGATTCATTAAGTGACGGTTCTGTTATTCTTTCAAAAGGAAATTGCCATAATACTTCATCATCTGGTCCTGAGGAAGAACAAAACATTCCTTCATCATTTCTTTATTGTATGGAATCGAAAATAAAGTTGTAGCAAAATGAATTTGCAGAGACTGAGGATTTGCTCTTGAACGAGAATTCGGTCGAGGACAAAGAAATGGTCGTGGTACAAAAATTCGACAAAAGAATGGAACAAGCCATATTCCAAAAAGAAAAGTCAAACTAGATACTTTGAAAATTCAACAAATATATAAATCAAAAGATGAAAGAATAGTAAATTATGGTGCAGCATGGAAAAAATAAATTATTTTAGCAAATTCCTTTGGAAGACTTGCACATCCGAATGGTTTTCAATATGCAAGTGGACCAACTAGTTTTCTAAGAGAAAAGAAATTCGTGGGAACACAAGTAGCGCAAAAATATTTTATCAATGAAAAATATACTTCATCATACGAGTATTACAGCAATGCACTCAAGCGGAGGCACGTGAACAGCCGAGCTAGACGCTTTTATCGTATTATTTGCTTGTGGGAGTTTTGCTGCCAAAGGACTTTCTGTTCTATGTTTACTTTCCAAATCCTGGGGCCGAAAATTCTATTGCGAAACAGTGCTTAGAGAACAGACAGATTCTTGGAAATAATAAAATATTTCTAATTTGACTTAAATTCAACTATATCGCATATATTTCAATTAATCTATTTGCTCTTGCTCAAATGTAAAGAATACGCTTGTTGAGAATGTTTTTTTTTTTTTTTTTTTTTTTTTTTTTTTTTTTTTTTTTGTTTGTGTGTGTGTGTGTTACAAAGCAAATAAAAGTATTACGATTAATGAGTAATTGTTCCTTCAGAATCAAGATGCTGCTTTATTCAATATAAGCCGAAACACCTGATAACTTGAACATAAATTCTAGCTTTTAGCTGATGTCAAAACATAATGTTTTTTAAAAAATATCCTCATCAATCATCATCATTAATATATTATCCTCATTTGTAAAAGGAGGAGAACAGTATCTTTTTTTGGGGGGGAGGGAGCGTGCCTTTTATGCAACCCTTTTATAACACCACAGGAAATGTTATTACGGACAAATTCTTCACTTCTTTGATTTAGAAAAGTTTAAGGAATAAAGGAATTAGTTATCTTAGCACAGTCAATTGTGCAAAAAGTTTTGTGTAGGGTATAAAATTAATATTATTGGCTTATGTTGTAAAAGAGAAATTATTGTCATGTAATTCTATAAAATTAAAAAAAAAATAAATAAATAAAAAAATCAGAAACATTTTTTAAAGAATTTTAACTTTGATTCAAAATTAATTTAATGAAGCAAATTATAACATATTTTGTTAAGAAAAATTTTAAAATGCCAGATTTATTCCATTAAATGACTGCATACCGTAATTAGAGGTAAAGCGAAAATGGCGCAATGCTAGTGTTAAGTGTACAGGAATTCTTTCAAAAACGCGAATTTAGGGTTCATTTCCAAAATGTAGTCATTTATTAAATCAAACGAATTTCAAAAATAGAAGTGGAAGATATGCTCGGAAACATTGTTAATTTATGTTTGTTTTACCTTTCCTTTGCAGAGAATAATACTTCGGTAACTTTCACCGTAAGAGTGGGAAACAAACTACACGATCTACGTTCGAATCCCATCTGCAACACGTACACAGGCAAAATAGGTAATTACAAATTATCTATTCAGATGTTACTATTTTCATGCAATCTTTATATATGCGCTTAGTGACAGGTATTGATTTCTATTTATTAGAGGAAAAGCGCATGTTGCTCTTTCTCTGCCCGTTTATGACAATAGGAGCATTTGTGAGTGTTCATCTAGAAGCGCCCATCTCAACCTCCCTGTCTATCTGCGAAATCCATGTGTACACAGCAGAAGGTAAGAAATTTTATTGAAGTAAAACAAACTATTACTGTAGGGCTATTGTAATATTCATTACCGAAAGAAACAATTTTTCTTGTATAAACAGTTTCACATAAATCATTTCAACTACAGGAAAGTGTAGTGCACGCTACACTTGTACTTAAAGTTACTCAGTTACCTTTCGTAAAATATAGCAGGAATGGTAGGAAGCCATATACAGACAATAGGGAAATTTTTAAGTTGTATTTGTTATAGCAGCTCACTGCAAATGAGTATCATGATAAATAATGTTTAAACAAACTTTACTTTTATTTATAAGCAAAATCTATTAAAACACACAGCAATCTATTGAAACACTGGCTATCTGAAATTTCTGTAACATAAAGTGCTTAGTCGTTTACTACAAAAACAAGGGAATAATCTAACTGATTGCATTAGAGACGGTTTAAGAAGAAAGTTTGGACTCTTAGTGTTCCTTAAGTTTTTGTTGGTCCTTTTGTTGAAGAACTCATCTGCATAGAATTTGTTAACACGTATGTGATCTCCGAATTTAAGGATGTTCTTGACAGTGGAGTATATTTCACATCTTTCCAATTTAAGGTATGCTTTTGACGCAGTTGGTACACATACTTCATCATCTGGTCCTCATCATAATCTTTAACCTTTAGGATGGGTTCATAATCTTTAACCTTTAGGACAGTCCCTGTATTCATCATCCACGGCACACTTGATGCATCGGGGGATGTCTGCAGGATTCCTGAGCATGAGGAAATTTTTAGCATTTGAAACATTGAATCGGGAATAGCCTTCTCTTGTATACTTTACCCGTCAGGTGAAGTAGCTACCTTATATTAACAACTTTCCGCATTGCTAAGTCTTTCCGAGGATAACAGAAGATATTGACAACTTGATAATTTGGCTAAAGTTCCTAATCTAGTAAGTTCTAGAAGTTCATAAGGAATAGCTTTACTGGAAATAGATATATTTGAGCTTCTGAGGATAAGTTTTATTTTTTTTCATCTGGAAAAAGGTCCAGTTGGGAAAAGCAGTCTTTCTGTCGTCAAAGAAAATGGTGAAAGTGCAATATTCATAAGAACTTTCTAAAAATTTTGTTAAAGGTTTTCAGAGATCTTATTTTCCCTAAGAACACTGATTTTGATCCATTTTATAGAATCATCTGTAATATTCTGTGACTTTTTTCTGGAGCTTAACGAAATAACTAAGGGTTATGCAGATATTTCGGGTGAGTTTTCATGTCTAGAATAACTGTTTCAAGGTAGCAGGCACAAATATATTTTAAATTTATTCTACTTCATTATTTGTAAGAATTGAAATAAAACAATACAACAAAAAAGTACCTGTCACTTGGATACTTCTGTAAACACAAGCTTTCCTTAAAACTGTTTCAAATTATAATATCTAATTTTCTTCTAACCAGAAGCTACAGGATTCTCTTATTACAGCTAAAAGTGATTCAAAATCGTAAGGTTACAAAGCTATATCTATCATGCGACCTTACGTGAGACAGCGATAATTTATCAGGAGGCAAATTTCGCAGCAGGCAATTACTGCTTTTCAATACCCAAACTTCCCTACAACAGCTAGGCGCACTTCCTCTAAGTCTATAGTAGAACTGCTTACTACTTAAATTTACTTGAATTCTGAAATGAGAGAACCTCGTTTTGTAATGAGGGAAAAGGAAAGATGTAAATTAAATAAAACTTTGACAGGATTTTACTTTGATTTTTTATCGCTCCGCTTACGAACTGAGCGATTGCGGCGTGTACCGCAGTAAAATTCGTTATCATGGGAGTAAAGTTAAGCTGCTCGATTAACGATTTCCTCCCTGCGTTAATCAGTAATCATTTAGTATACGATCTACTGCTTTTATTTATCATTTCTTTCTTGCTGTCTTTTTTTCCATTAAATATGAAAGATATTGATTTTTTATTCTATGAAGCTGTTCTTCAATTATGAAATTACGAAAATTTGAACTGGCTAAAGTGCAAAAATATTCATTTTATGACCGCAGTTAATGGGCTTATGGATATTTCTCTCATGTAATGAATTACAAAATATATAATGTAAAATGAAAATAATTATATCTAAACAGGCAAAAGAAGTTGAGCAAAAGAATATATAGTAATGTTGAAAGTAAAAATAAAAAATTTATTTTGATAAAAATTAACATGATAATGCCAGTGATTTAAATGGCAAAACAGAAAGAAAATATGAAGTGGAAACAAAAATATCCATGGGAAAAGGTATATTATCACTTTTTGACTTTTACTTTGTCAAGAGGAGGTCAGCCGTTTAGCGACAACACATCTTTTTCTGCAGAACCATTTTCGTTTCTGTACCTTTAAATTTAACCAAGTTACCAACTAAATAAATAACCAAATGTTTTTTAGTTCCCATCATAGGTTCTTCAAGAGTTGGAAGAAAAAACCTCAAATAATCTCTATGTTCTGGGATAATACTCAGCTGAAGAAACGCTTTCTCTATATCCGATGATAAACCAACGGAATACAATCTAAACCTGTCAATTATATCAGGCATGAGTTCAATTAAGTTCGGCCCTCTGTTTAAACAATCATTTAGGGATGTTTGATTTCTCTCTCGGGCTGAAGCGTCGAACACCGGCCTTACCTTCATTGTCTGGCTAGTATGCTTTATAACAGGTCTATGGGGCAAATAATAACTCAAATTATCAATTTCAGTTTCAGGAACCTTTTCTATTACTTTTAGGTCTTCCCATTGCTTAAAAACTACCTTATAGTCATCTAACTGATTTTCCTCATTAATTCGTTGACACATTCTTTGATGCCTTTTAAAAGTCATAGACTTATTGTTAGGTAACAGAATTTCAGATTTAAAGGGTAGTGGCAATTCATATCGGCCATCAGGAAGAACATTTAAATTCTCTTTAAATTGCTTAACGGTGTCAGAGTGAGCAAGTTTACGTTTAACATCTTCAGTTGGGTCTGTTATGCCAATGGCATCTAAATTCCAGAGTTCGGTTACGCTAAGATTAGCACAATGCAACGAAACTACATTATTGCACAAATTATTTTCTAGTAATGCTGGAATAGTAGCTGAAGTAGGTTCTTTAGATAAGCTGTTTACTTTACCAATCACAGTGTATCCGAATTTAGTCTCAACTACAGTTACACCAGAGTTCAGTTTCAGAGAGCTGCCAGTAATAATGTCCCCGATGGCATCTGCTCCTAAAAGCAACTCAATGTCATATTCTTTAGCTTGCAAATCAGACAAGGTAATATTTCTTTCTTTTAATTCTTTTAGGGTATTGTGATCAACTACTTTTGGAACACATCCACATATTTTGTTTTGAGAAAGTACTTCAAAGTTATGGTCATAAGTGCCCTCAAAATTTCTTAAATTAACATCAAACACTAAATGGGAATGAGGACTTGTCTCTCTCCCCCCAAACAAACCGTATATAATGGTTTGTTTCGATTTAGTACGCAGTTGAAAAAATACGATGACCCTTTCTGAAAGATAAGATTTCTGAGAACCATTGTCCAATATCGTACAGACTGTAAGTTGTCTACCCTCAATACTATTTTTAAAACAAGTGTTTGCAAATACACATTTTCATTAACAGTTGACTGATTAGACAATACATTACTTGAAATAACAGTACTGTCAGTTTCATTTGGCTTTACAGGTTCGCCATTTGAAACCATAATGGTATAGTGAAATTTATCACATGTTAAACATTTTACTTTATTTTTGCATGACCGTGAACTATGTCCAACTCGTAGGAAGCGAAAACAGGCGCGCTTTTGCACCAAAAGTTTTCGTTTATCTTCTAAAGACATTTTGCGAGCAGAAAAACATTCGGCAGAATTGTGGGATTTCTCAATATTGAATATGCATTGGATATACAGAATACATAATGCCAAATACACTTAATGTAAATATGTTACTCATTATACTGAATACTGCTTACGACTACTATATACAGAATAAACTTGGGATTACTATATATAGGATACATAATGATTACTATATAAAGTACACTTAAAGTAGATGTTACTCATGATACTGAATACATTGATAATACTACTTACACCCGCTGCAGATACCTGACTCATATTACATTGCTATGCATTTAAATATACATGTTGCAGATACAGTACATTTTCGATGTGCTCGAGATTGCTATTTACACGCTATGTACACGCTATATAAACAATACATGCAGAATACCATATACAGAATAGACTTAAGATTTCTATATAAAGGAAACATAATGCTAAGTACACTTATTATAAATATGTTACTTATAATACTGGATACATTAAAGAGACTGCTTACACACTCTGCAGATACCTGGCTGATATTACATTGCTATGCATTTAATATACATGTTGCAGATACAGTACATTTTCGACATGTTCGAGATTGCTATATACACGCTTCAGACTACTATATAAACAATACATACAGAATACCATATACAAAATAGACTTAAGATTTCTATATAAAGGAAACATAATGCTAAGTGCACTTATTATAAATACGTTACTTATAATACTGGATACATTAAAGAGACTGCTTACACACTCTGCAGATACCTGGCTGATATTACATTGCTATGCATTTAATATACATGTTGCAGATACAGTACATTTTCGACATGTTCGAGATTGCTATATACACGCTTGAGACTACTATATAAACAATACATACAGAATACCATATACAGAATAGACTTAAGATTTCTATATAAAGGAAACATAATGCTAAGTACACTTATTATAAATATGTTACTTATAATACTGGATACATTAAAGAGACTGCTTACACACGCTGCAGATACCTGACTGATATTACACTGCTATACATTTAATATACATGTTGCAGATACAGTTCATTTACGATATGCTCGAGATTGCTACATACACACTTGGGACTACTATTTACGGAATACCACATACAGAATACCGCAACAATTGAATAAACTTGGGATTACTATATACAGAATACAT